AAGGAACGCTGATGGAAACAGCAGCTTCGACGCAGTGGCCAGTTATCACTAAGTTCGGCCAAGTTGGAGGAGTTTATTGTGGAAGAGAACGTACCGAAATCTGCCGGAATTTTCATTGTTATTGGATTTCTCGCTTCGGAAATCTACATCGTGGATGCGGTCACAAAGAATATACTGTAAATTTTCGAACCCGTGATGTGGCCTGAATATTTTCCTGAGGCCTTCGCAGATCAAATGTGGGAGATGCCAACAACGCTTCTCAGTGCATTTTTAGCACTCTATTTCGCAGCCGACCAACAAAAACGGCAGTGTAAATCAATGCGCAGAGATCGAGATTATTCCATAATCTCCTAGGGAAGGCAAATTTATCGCATTCGAGATCACACTTATAACCCTCAAAAGAAAACCTGCATACAAATACTGTGTGGATCAGACTGGTATGTACAGATATTCTCAAATCATTCAAGGAGAGACCACATCAATTCCTCCTTTTTTCAGGCAGGTTGTCAGGTTTCTTAAAACCTGTTATTCGAGGGGCTTGGGGTACGTTAATGCTTATCAACTCTTTTCTTCATAGTTAGAACGGAGTAAGAATACGGCGGCCCGGATTCAACGACATCTTTTTAAAAATATTATAATTCCCAAGATCCGTTCTGCAGACAAAAATTACGAAGATTGCACACCAAAAAGGACGCGATCTCAGTTAAATTTCAGTCGTCATAGTGAATTACGGCCACGAAGAAAAACAACCATCTTGACATGTATTCGCGCACTAAGTATCTATAAATAAATTTTCTGATTTCGCGTATGAATTTAATTGTGCAAACAATGTTCTTTCTTTTTCACACGTCTACTTGTTTCTTCCCCTTCCAATGGCTTACCTCAACTCCAGACAGGTATCAGGTACTGGCTGATTATTCGCTGCGGAGAAGAGGACTCTACTGAATTCGACAAACACCGAGAATGAATGTTTTAGCAGAAAAAGAATAACCAAATCCATAATCATGAGTGGCGGTCTCCGAGTAAAGTTCATCCCACCGGCTCTGCTTCTCTTCTAGATGTTCACCGGAAAGGAGCAAGTCAGGTCGCGAAGAGATCCTTTTACCGTTGCCCAAGCTCACACGCTAAAAGGAGCGAAGTGTCCGGTTGCGTGCCTCACTGACCGGTCGGCCGCGAGCGAACCAATCGTCGTGCAGTTAGTCACTGTCAGACGTTACCGATGCGGGACCTCGAGCTGTGACAGTCCTCCCACCAGGACGGGGAGAGCTTACAAAAGTTCGGCATGCCCTTTTGTGGCTCTCCTACTGTCCCCGTGTGGCAGCTGACAATTTCTCGCGCCAGTACGAATGACTCAGACTCGATGTCGTGTGGGAGTGGTGTTCACTATTTGCAGGATGAGAGATGGCTTTCCGTTTTCCTCGACGCTCAGATCAAGGACCACGGACGCCGTGACTTGATGCATGTTGTCTTGTTCATCAGGGTACCGTGTTCAAGTACCATGTTGCCGATTTTTCCTTGATGACGCCTATCAACTACTACCAACTTAAGGATATTATTATTGGATAGCTCCTTGAGGCTGGCATCGCATTGACCTTGGGTTCACCACTGCAATGTTTGTTCGATGACCAACTGGACCTCGTTGCGGCCGGGGGTTGAGGTACGGCCTACTGGTTGACAATGGTAACTAAGTCAACAACGGCTATTCCCGTTTGCAGTGTCCGCAAAAATTCTCTATTCGGACATTTTTCATTCTGTAACGGGCGCTTTTTTAACAAGTGCGCACGACGGCCACAACGAAGATATATGCTGCATATTAACGAGTTACATCTTTTTGCTAAATATAGCAGACAGCAAAACTCACGAGGCATTAACGGAATAGTTGTGAATATGTTTTTAAGTATAGGAGACTACCTGGGTGACATTCCAGAACTGGCTGACACAGAACATGCTTCCAAGCTACAGGACATGTGCTATTTCGTGAACCTTTAACTGAAATTCTAAAATGCGTTTTTAGTTTAAAAAGACTGCTTAAATAGGGTTTTGATTCCAATAATAGCACAGCATAATCTCAATGTATTTCAGTCACGTTAAGATTTCGGACGTTAAATAGGCTTTTTCGGCTGTCTGAAAAAATTGAACTCTGTAAGGAAATGACTACTTAGACAGTGTGAGTTTTCCCACTGATTTTCAACGTCCTTAAAAATTCAAATATATTTATAGAAAACATGGGCAAAAATACTCTTTATTGCACTTATTTAGTTTAAACGATGCCTTTTTCAAATTTCATACTTAACAAAAAGGAATTTTTCGCTTTTCAAAAGGTTTCAAATTATGGGACTTTTAAGACCGCAAAGTTTTAATTCACAAAGCATCTTAGTTGCCCATTTATCGGCACTGCATATGAAGTATGCAAAATAGCACACGTTTATTGCGGAATTGGATGAACTCTATATGACATCCTCCTAATAGCATATAGTAATATATAATTTTCTTTGCAGGGACCATACAGAGCTTGTAGTTTGGAAACACTGAGTCCAAGTGTAACAGAAGGTTTGGTTCAGAATTATTTGGGAATCGATAAAAGTTCACTTAGATTGAAAGGTACCCTGCATTCAAGTACGACATTTGAATTGGACGTAATCTGCTACAAACCGAGTGCAAGAAAAAATATTTTCATGCATGCTTTCTGCAATATATGCTTAAATTTATGAGGACGTCTGAAATAAAGAGAAAAATCACTACTTAAGTAGTAATTTTTCACCGAATGTGGTCACTGCAGGCGGCCGAAAGGAATCTAATTCAAAAGACATCTTGCCGTGAGTGAAATATACTGGTTCTATGTTGTGTGACAATCCTGATTTCAACCCTGCCTAAGTAATCTTTTCTAATCGAAAACACATTTCATAAATTCAGTTAACATTTTTTGAGATAAGCCAGACACTATAATATGCGGTACCTGAAACCTTTTCTGTCGAGCACCGTTTCGGCCACGTCTACAACTCACGCTTAAATAAAGACTGTTTTCTAAACTTGTATTTTCTTACTAATGAGCCACGTTTCCTAGAAGCTTTCTCATTTCATAGGAGACCACGTTTTCCGTAAATGGCTTACTTGGCGGGAGGAAAAATTTTATTAGGGAAAACGTGTACTGCCAGTTCCTGAGTATTATGAAGCTCAGCCTGCATTTGCAGATTACGCAAAATATATCTCTTTGCGAAAAATGTTTTTTTTCACTTCGTGTCCCTGTGAAGAGGTCACATGGCGCTCAGAAAATATTATAGTAGCTATAATCCATGTTGCACAAAGAACGATAGGCCTTTCTATGAATCTGTTGATGTTCAACCAGGTGTCTAATTGTAAACGCGTCCTGAAAATTTTTTATCCATGTAATTATCAATCATAAAGACCGAAATAGCGCACTCCTTCGGCACCCAATTCGAATACCGTTTACCCCATGTTTTTGTCAGTTTTTCACGAAAATACGACTGCATCTATACAGGCACCGAAAATCCCTGGAAAGATGCAAACACCTCTAGGTTAATTTACATGGGTAAATGAAATTATGCTCTCAATAGAACACGGGAATAGGAGTCTCTGTAATACTGGTGACTTAATGTCAAATGCCAGGAAACTTAGGGTCAAGGTTAAGCTTAAGCTTATAATTAAGGCTAAGGTTTGGGTTAGCATAAAGGCAACGCCCAAGGTCTAGGTTAGGACTAGTGCTGGGCTTAGGACATGGGCATGTGTAACCTTCCTGGAATTTGTCGAAGGCAGCCCGTACTAGAGGGGAGCGTTCCTATTTTCGTGTCTTGTCGGGGGCTCAGAAGTGATCACTCAACACTATTAAAAAAGCATTGGTTTTGGGTTGTTTCTTGCTAACTATTCTTACGA